AAGCGGAGTTCAAGTGGAGGCTTTATTGTAAACTCCAAAAAAGGAGTCGTCTGATAAACTTATTTTTAATAACAAATGGTGTTCAACACTTAGTAAGTTTACACTTCTATCATTTTGAACTAAGCTATTATTCACTTACCAGTTCGCAACGTTTCAAACACCTTGCAGTAACTTCTAGGTTTGAAATCTTACAACATAATAAATAGTATGGGAAAAAGATCCTCTTGAACCTAGGTGTTGAAAGATTTTCTGATGAACATTAGCCGCAAAGATAACATCGAACATAAAAATGTTAATCGTAATAAAATATCCTTTCTTTTTTTTTTTTTTTTTTTTTTTTTTTTTTTTTTTTTTTTTTTTTTTTTTTTTTTTGTAGTCAAGGGAAAGGATTTTCTTCTTCTCATAAATATTATTACGTTGAGTAACAAGTGCATATTTTTAGAGATCATAATGCTTGTCGGAACTAGGAATTTTAAGAAATCAGTCGACCCTCGTCGAAATTCAAACCATGGATGTTCTATCTGCTAGTTAGACATATTTATAACTTGCCTCGTTACATTTTCCGCCGCTTCAAATGCAACTGTTGAGAGGCACGAGACCGTATAACCCCAATTCGTGTGGTGACAAATTATCGTCGTTACATTTTAATTCGAAAGCCTCTACACCTATTATTAGGCATTTTTAACTAAAAATCATGGAAACAGAGCCGCATTTTTGCCAAGATTTGAACCATGAGTTACATACATGCGAGCTGCACTTGCTGACTGGAACGGAGCATACGTGAAGGAATGGAATAATTCTTTTACATTAGTTTTAAGACAGTGTTATTTTGTTGACATGTTCTTCTTAATTGTCTGCATTTTTGAAGATATCTATTTCTTACTTATTTGCACTGTTATTAAAAAATGGCTTTTTATGATTAAATTTCGAACATAAACCACGAAATAAACTGCCAGTCAAAGGTAGTCATGGAAAAGTTTAAAAACCGCTGCAGTCTAGAAATTTCTTCAGAGATGTTTATAAACTTCTAATAAGCCAAGCTGATTCTCTGAAATTATTACTCAAATTTTAGCCATGTTTTAGAACCATTAGGGATTTTTTCCCCGAAGCAGGAGACGTGAAAAATGTGCAATAAATCCTGGACCTCTCGAATACGCGCCGAGTGTGCTATCGTTACACCACGAAGGCATGCTGGAAGGAGAAAGAAAAATAACCTTATAATATTATACATTTTATTTTGGAACAGGATACTTGAAAAATATGCAGTACCTTCGCCGGAATTCAAACTATGGACCTCCCAACCACCAGCTGGATGTATTTCCAATTAGATTACGGAGGAAAGTTGTAAGAATAGAGAAATATCTTACGTTCTCTATCACTTAAAGGGCGATTGGGAAGGGTCTAGGACTTTTCGCTGTCGCCATTTCACAGTGGCCGTTTCGTTGTCAAGACTTATTTTTCTTTGCGTGGCTGTATTATATCTTGCCGTATTATACTGGTATTTAATTTAGTTTAATAATTCAGTTTACCCTTTGTATACTTGCTAAATGTTGCTTGTAATATATATAGTTATTTAAAAGTACGAGATATAAAGAAATTACACATAGTTAGTTGGAAAATTATGGCAGTATGGAAGAGAACTGGGCTAAATTCCTGTTATATCAGAAGTTATATTATCGATTTTAAAATTATTCGGACGCAATATTTACATAATTTGCCAAAATTTCTTGAAATTTTGATCAGCTAGTTCAGAGAAATCACACTTGCAAGCAGAAAATTCCAATTTTTATGAAATTTGAATGGAAAAAGAAATTACTTTGGAATCTTGTCAGCACTCTTAAAATTAATATGTCATGCGTAACGGTGTATTTGTATAAAGCTGTATACAAAAACATTGTATATAAAATATTTATTATATAAAATTATTAAACTAAAGAGAGTTATTAATTTAAATCAACTTAATATAAGACGGCAAGATATAATATAATAAAGAAAAACATGTCTTGAAAGCAAAATGTCCCGACGGTAAAACGGTCCGATGGCGAAACGGCCATGTTGAAACAGCCATGGCGAATAGTCCCATTCCCACTGGGAACGCGGGGACTCTGTTGCTAAATTCTGATAGTTACGAATTATGATCTGCTACATTTTAGTTCGGGCGCCACTGTAGAGTCTTCTGACAATTTGCGGAGAAAAGAAAGTTAAATAATCGGTGATGCTCTCGCAGGGAATCGAAATAAGGACTCACGGATTGCCAGCCTGACGCACTTCCAGTTACACCATAAAGGCATTCGATAAGGAGGGAGAAAATATCTTACAGCAAAGTAACTATGTTAGAATTATTAATTAACTCACGAAAGACTATCATTTGATAACTTCTAAAGTAAATTTAAATGAAATAATATATATCGAACTAAGTATTCGCCGAGAAACTATAATAAATCTTTTCTCGGTATTAAAAAAAACAATGATAAATCTATGTTTGACGTTTATTATCTTGAAAAAATTCACTAAATAAAGAGAGAAATATACATTCGTGATTCATTTCAAAGATTATCATTTACTTTCTAGTTCGTTTCAACGTTAATGAAGACTTCGAGAATAATAAATAAATTCTCTATTATGTCAGAAAGAATCGTTAACTCACTCAGTAGTTCTCCTGAATCTCAAAATATTTTAATCTAGGGCTCAGGTACTTATTTATTTCTCGAAAGACACCCCATTTTCTTATTACGGATTTAGATGAATAATGTAAAGGCAGTTCAAGTATCCGATTTCCTGTAATTCTCGAAAACCTCCCTTCGCTAATGAACGTTGCAGTGCATTAGAGGTCTTCCGAATAACAATTTTTTCGCTTAGTTTCTTGTGAAATTTTATTAAGAAATAATTTCGATATTTTTTCAGCACTTTCAGCATTTCGTGTTTTTTCTACAAAGTCAAATGATAATTCAAGATGCTAGTTTTCTCATTTAGCGCACTTTCACAGAATGATTTTTATTTAATTCAAATGAAAATTTTGTAATTATCAGCTCAGACTGTTGCGATTATAATCGAAAACTGTACAAATGCTTAAAAGTAATAAGTAAAATAAATATTATATTCTAAAATGAATGGCATTTGGTCAACGAGATTGACTACCTCCATTGTTTGACTATAACAACATTCGCTATACATGATTGAGAACACAGAAGTCATCTAATTCTTCATGATTAAATAAGATATGTGAGATAAAAAGGTGTTATTGATTCTGTAGGAAATCCAAATTAAGCAAGCGAGGCAGAAATAAGATACAGAAGTCACAAGACAGTCATGTACTTCCATAACTTGAAATAATCTTTGGCAACAGCTATTCTTCTTCCTCAGATGGGGTGTTTAGTTAACTTGTCAAGGCTAAAGAAATCAAAAGCTGTCTGACTTTTGTGGATGAGTCTCTTAGAAAAACTGTCTTATATTCTCATTGTACATGGGAAAAACCGCGAAAATGCCCCTGCAACCAACCCGTTCAAGGCGATTTGAACCCAGATGGAGTATTCGGCGATTTTATCTACTAGACCACTGATGGGCGTTCTGCTTCCACTGTTACAATTATTGATAACTTAATTTTAATTGTTAATACGTTTTTGATAACTATTGTATGGACTCATTATAAATTGAATGCACAAGTCCGATGAAAAATGAATAAAATTTATTATTATCACAGCAAATAAAACAAAATGATTAAATTTCCTCAGATATTCGTACAATATCCCAATATCTCACACAGTAGTTATCTTTTAAGCTACCAAAAACGTTCAACAGAACTAATTCAAAATAAAGAAACGTATAGAAAAAGCTAATCCGATTTCACCTCGAATTCGCTTCAGTAAACAACAGCAGTTTTCTAAACAAAACTCATAAAACAACTACTAAACATAACTAAGGTGTTTTTTCTGACTTTTATAGCTTTTTTTAAATAGGCCGCACAAGATTCTTCTAGCAATTTCTCGAAATCAAAAAAAGGGATATTTATTTATTAAATGTTAAATGCACGTTCTCTTGTATTTTTAATTTTCCGGCTTAGCTTTCTTTTAATATTCGTCACGCGCTGCACTGCATGGTAAATAAAACAATTTAATTTATAATTCTACTAACATTAGCTATTTAAATACCAAATGCGTAACACTATTATAACCCATGTTACACTTTTTGTTATTATTATTACAATACTTTGTGAAATTATTATTACAATTTATTAATTATAATAACAATTATAACTGAGTAATACATTTGTAAAATACAACCGACTGCTAATAATAGCTCTTCTACTTTCAAAATATATGTTCATGTAAAGCTTTACTGTTTTTTAACGTTGTTGTATCTGTCAAAAAGTTTTGTGGTTTTACTGTTTTCTACGTTGTTTCATCTGGCAACAAGTCTTTTGGTGGAAAGAATGTTTGGTTTTGTGACAGCCATGTAGAATGGCTCGCTACGTTGTAGTACTTTTCTCATATTTAGCATTAATACGGCAAAATAAAGCTAATAGAAATACAGTCCATGTGTTGTGTGAATTATTTAGCAAACCAGAGCAAAAAAATAATGTTTATTCAGAGGTCAAACAACAAAAATCAGCGTTATATTTTCAAATTTTCACAGGACTAGTTTCGATGGTTTTACCGAACCACCATCGTCAGCTTCAAAAGCGCAAATGACCTCTGAATTAGTTGTTTGACTTCTGAATTAGTATTTGTTCGGCGTGTTATTGTGTCTTAAATAATGTTTAGTTTGTGCCAATATAAATACGCTTTTATTCCCTTATTAAGGGAATCCTATCCCTTATTAGAGAGGCAACCATACAAAGGGAGTCTATAAGGTTTCAGGACTCAGTTTTTAACACATCAAAGCAAATGTATTGGTAACTATTGTAGCAGCTTTAAATATTGTTATTAAAATCTTGTAATTTAAAATAAATAAACTTTAAGGTATATGTTAACGGCAATGCTTGAAACGCAGGCTCAAGAGCCACGTGTGGCTCTCGAACGAAAAATGTATTTATTTTATTTTTAAAATGTTGGAATGCGTTTTCTCCTCTTGTTTTTATGTCGCTATTTTGAGTGTTAAATAAAAATTATTGCTGTGTTCCATCAATGGAGTTTGCTTCAAATTGTGAAAGAAGTATCACTCTATAATTACTACACATCCCAGTTTATTTTTTTAAACAAATGTGGCTTATGAAAAGAATTTTAAATGAAATTTTGGCTCTTGGTTTTATTCAGGCAGTATCTGTCGTTAAGATTCAAAATTCGAACTAAAAGAATGCAATTTTTTATTTCAAAAGTGCCAGACAGTAATCCCAATTTTTTAACAATAAATCGTTACAAATCGTTATAAATCGTTAGAGATAACTGATTGGTTGATTGAAATAAAACAAGACACGTTAGGGCTACATTTCAAAAGAAAGTTGCCTTTGTGAAGAGCTTTTTAAGAGAAACTGGTTCATGTAGGAAACCATAAAAATGGCCATGCGCCTAATCCATTCGGTAAAAACGTTGTGCGTAAAGTAAATGTTCAGCTTTTTGAATAACTCGGCCGCTAAACCACAACTAACTAAACTAATAAAAGATGATATTTTACTCAGGATAGAAAGATAAAATGTAGAACATTCATAGAAAAAATCCATTTCGTCCTCAAAAGCGTTAGCTTCAGAAGTTGGTATTAAAGGCATAGTGTCTCATCTTTGATTGGCAGTTTGTAATTCACGAACAATCTGCACCTGAAAAACAAACATTAAATTTCATATTCTAGAAAGGTGTCATAATAAATGATAATGAATGATGGTAATAAATGATAATGTAAATTTATGTTAATCCCTGTGTTTAATATTTAATTGGTTGTATTTTGGCTTTTATATAATTTTTCAGTGCTGTTTATTATCTCTACTTATTAACCTTTTAAGGCATTTTTAGTTAATTTTTCCTTGCATTTTTGTTTGATCTAATGTTTTTATTGTTAGAAGCGAAAGTAGAGGGAAAACTTCCTCACCAGCCCTGGCGAAATTCAGCAATTTCTGTCAAACTTTGGACGTTTCCAGAAAATGCATTTTCAAAGCTTTAAGAGCGATTCTTTAAAGCTTCTTGAAGTGTTTAAGTAACATCATAGTATGTATTGGCCATTTGGAATTAAGAATCATTCGGTTCAGAACCACGAAAATCTATTGAATACCTGATGCTGCTTTAGCCTGTTTGAGTAATTCCGGTGATCAGAAATATTTTTTGAATGTTAAAAAGAATATGCCTTATCTCTGTCTTACTCTCTGAATTATTTATAGCTTTTATGCTGTTGCACGAGCTGTTGTTACTTTCAACATAATATTACCTTCTTCCTGCTCACCTGGCATAGTTATTAAGCTGTAAGTCCTTAGCAGACAACAAGCAGAAATATTCATTTCCTTAGGCCTAAACCAATTTACTTATCTGTATTACATGAAACTCATCACTTAGTGCAATTAGTGAAACTGTTTACTAAAAACAAAAGTTTTAATGATAGAAATACGTCTAGATTTGTAAGCTGTGAATTAGTTTTGTGTTTCCTAGAGTGAAAGCTTACCTTAAAGGTCTCGCTTATTTAAGTTCATTTTTTTTAAATCATTACAGATATTTAGTTTGACGGAATGAAAGAATGAAGAAACATTTCATTAGTTGAGTTCCACAAAACACATTTATAAAATTTATGACTGTGTCAAGAGATGCATAATATTTGACATGATGAAGTTAATTGATTGGGGATAAAGTATTTTTGTTTATAAAATTGTTTTGTTTGCGATAAAGCAGCTTCATTTTCAACATCAAAAAAGTCGAAATAATCTTATTTCATAACTCATTAAATATTTTCTAACAACAAATTCACAATTTCCTGAAAAAGATATATTTTTTGTAATTTGTGTTTTTAATGCCAAAATAATTAAGCCTATAATTGATTTTTCGTACGTATATTTTTAATGTAAACATAGTGATCTGTTTAAGGGTGCGATAATAAAATTTGCTGTTATTAAATATTTTGAAATAAAAATATCTGTAAACAACATTTTAAATCTCAACTTTTATAGTTCCTCTATTTTCAGAACTGAAAATCTAGCAAACCCATTCGTGTCAATAACATTTTGCTAAATTTGAGTAGCGGTTGTTTTACAGTGTTTCTAGTGCTTTCCAATATTTTCTAGTTTATTAGTTGCTTTTCTGTTGCTGCCGCAAAAGTTGTAGAGACATTAGACATTTTCTGGAAGCATGCAAGATAAAAAATTAGCAAACACCTTAGCCGGGAATCGAACCATGGACCTTTGGAATACCGCCCCAGCGTGCAGAACCACTACACCACGAAGGCACGCTAGGAAGGCGGGAGAAATATCTTATAAAGTTAGTAGTATTCTCAATAAAGTGAAGAGTGAAAATGGACATGAACATGTATATGAAAATTAGCTTATTCTGAATGAAAAATATTGTTTTGCATTTGCAAAATTATTTCTAAATCTCAATCTGAATTTGAAAATTTGTGACAGTCAACTTTTCAAATACTGTGCTTTTTCAAATAATGTGCTTCATGACCGACGGATAAGGAAATTTGTTTTAACTTTGTAGAACCGTTCGAATATTTTTGAAGGAGGTAAGTGAAAAATATGCAGTACCTTCGCCAAGCGTGGAATCCTGGACTTCTCGAATACGCGCTGAGTATCTTCTAATTACACCATGAGCACATGCGGAACAATGGGAGAAAATATATTGTATACTCCCTTGTTAAAATGCGACTGGGGATGAGGGGACCCAAATACTGCTGGTGACGAATTATCATCTACCACCTTTTTAGTTCGGGCGCTACTGTAGAATTAATAGTTTTTTTTTTTTTAAGCAGGAGACATGAAAAATGTGCAGTGCCCTCGCCGGGACGCCAGACCTGGATGTCTGAATACGCTTCGTGTATGCTTCCAATTACACCAGCGTGCAGAAAAGAGGGAGAAGATAACCTGTCAAATTGCCAATTGATAGTTAAAAACAGTTACATCCTGACAATTACAAACTGAAAAATCTTACTTTCTCCCACTTCAAGAATTATTGCACTTCCTTGCAAAAAAAAGTAAAAAAAAAAAAAATAAAAATAAAAATAAAATGTTTAATGCTTTTACGAAGTTTTTAAAGAGAAATCAATGAGTAAAATGTGTAAATAAATAAGAATCTTGTCCAAAAGCATTAGTTTTTATTGTTGTGACTTATCTCATTAGTCTGACGGTAACATCAGAACAAGCCCACGAAATTCATCGTGGCAAGGTGAACAAGATTGCGCCTGGCGTTGGTTAAAGCCTTGAGCACCATACAGGTGGCAGTACGATTTCGCTCGCTTTCGCCTCAATTTTGATGGACAGCAATACGGGGGGGAACAGGTCTGACGGTCTCCTATTCCCTCGTCCCCTACCACCAACATCTGGGGAAGACTTTCGGCTCAGCATGTATTCAGAATGCCCCCATGCCGCAAAGACACTATACATTTACAAACATCTGTGCCTTCTCAGAGATCCGAACCCAGGCCCTTCGGTGTCGCAGTTGGCTTCCCTACCATCTGGGCGGCAAAAAAATGTGAGTTCCTACCGTGTGCGTTCTTTCCAATTTTTCTTGACTGATGTCTACAAATCAATTTACAAAGGCATTGCTAGCCTTACACTAAACACGCGCATCTAGATCACTATTTATAGATTACTTTCACGTTTAAAACAGAAATAAAAGAAGCTTATCTTCAGATTTAAGATCAAATACATTGCGACACATTTTTCTCTCATTAAATTCCTCCAGTAACTTCTCCGGAAAAGAAAAATACAGAAATATAATAAAATGTTACATTCTTGGGAACATCAGGGATGTTTATTTCCTTCTAAAATATAAAAGGCTAAACTTCTCTTTTTCTTCCTTCAGAAATAAGATACAGCTTTATTTATTTTTTTTTTTTTTCAGTCACAAATATGATTTGAAATTACTTCGGAAAATTATGCCCCACTTTCCTAAAAAAGCTAAATAAAAAAATAAAGAATATTTTATTTCTTATTTTTTTTTCATTCCACATCATAAATGTGATCTGAAACTGCCACAGAAAATTATGTCCACTTTTCTAAAAGCCAGAAAAGAAAAGCAAGCTGCGGTAAAGAATGGCTTTTACAAGAAATACAGAAAAAAGGCGGTCTGAAAGATTGCCGCTTTATACAACAGAGAAATTAAATCATGAAGCAAGATAAGCTAAAGGAAAAAAGAGTGGGAAATAAAATTAAGGACATGATTATAAATACTTTGCGAAAAATAAAATTTCTTGAAGTTTACCATACAAGTTCAGTGTTGTTTTCTTGTTTTTACATTTATTCAAAGAGCAGAATTATTCTTTGAGTAGCAACTCCCGAATTTAAATGTGTTCAAATGTAAGCTAAATAATGATGTTAATTTAAAACAGGATTTGATAAATCTAGACTTTAATACTTATTCCATATCCAATGAAAGCAGTTCAAATGGATAAGAAAGATGAAAAGTAGAAAAAAAAGAAAGTATCCAATAAAATTTCTTTTAATTTCAAGCAATAGTGTTTCATTTACTTTTTCATATATTTTCCTAAAAACTTCCAATTTATGCTATATGCGAGGTACAACTTGCGAAAAAAAATGGGACAGTTCTATATCACCTGTCCTACTCGACCGAGTGACGAAATTCAACTTCGCATTTTTCATGTCTCGAAAAGCGCGATTTAGGATATGTATTAGATTTATATATAGCATTGTTCTAATATACGTATTTTGACACAAAATCGGACTTTTTCTGAAATGACATGCCAATTTTTTTCATATTACCATTCTAGGATTCAAATTACGCCGAACTGCCAAGCTTTATAAAAGCACAAGAGTAGTTTTTAAAAAATTAGCTCTCAAAATTTTAGCTCCTCAATGTTAATTGAGTTTGGTATATAATGATTAATCTCTCTTTTTTTATTAAATTTGTTGATTTTTCCTTTCCCATTTCGAAATTTAGGTTCAATAAAAATAACATTCATGCGTGTTTTATGATTTATTTTTCAAATTTGTATTCTTAAATAATTTTTATAAATTTTTCGAAAACATTTTTGTATAAAAATTTTATTCAAAAATATATAATAATTTTATACAATAATAATAATAATTTTATACAAAAATGTTTATCAAATATCTATAAAATTTTTATCATTATCTTAAGCTAGATATATTTCTAGGCACACCTACAAAAATTTAGAGTTCTTTATTCAAAATTTCCTAAGCTGTAGGTGAATTTACATATTGCGAGTTTTCAAATTTGACTTATTTGTTATAAGCGCTAATAACGCCAAATGTGGTTTACGCGCTTTGTTAAAAGAATTTTGAAGGATGAACTTTTTTCTGTTTCTGCACAATGAAAAAAAGGAAAGGAAAATAGGTTGCTATAAATTAAGAAGTTCGCCAAGTACTTTTTTTTTTGGCGCAAACTGAAAAAAAAAGTGGGCCAAGATAATTTTTTTAATTTCTCCATAAATTTCTCACTAAAAATTACAGATTTTAATATCTGGGCATAATTTAAATCGTAGAATCGAAAAATGTAAAAATGTGGTATGTTATTTCTGAAAAAGTTCAATTTTGTGTCAAAATATCTATGTTAGAATAATGCTATATATAAATCGGTACTTTTCCGTTTCGCCGGCACAAATCTCGCCGAGCAAACTTTGTTCGCGACAACATACAGTATACACATAAAAAATGTTAACAAACGTTAGTTCTAAGAATTTTGTTATTTTGAAGGTATAAACATTTTAATATGGTTTAAAATTTTGTGAAAAGCTAATAAATTTGTAAAAAGACATTAATTTAAGAATTTACTATTCTTTCATGTTTCAACATCCTGATTTGCAGTTCTTATCACGTGACCCCAAGTGATCTCGTCTCACGTAAACTACGCTGCAAAAATCTAATTCTCTCAGTAATTATTTACATTAATTTCAAGTTAAGTCTTAGTTTGGAATACAAGTTTCAATGCAAGAATTATTTCAATTTTTACGAATAGCTTACTCAAATTATGTAAAACCGCAATGCTTTACTTGGCTAGTGCATTCTCATTAGAATTGATGAATTTAACCCTTGATTTTGCCTTTTCTATATTTTCGCCTTCGGATGAGCGGTGTGATTCTAATTGACTTAATTACCGAATGGTTTTAGGGGATAAAATTTAACAATCTTTGTAAAAATTCTATGTATTAATTGTATTCCAGTATTAAACGAAACAATCAATCTAATAAGAAATGGCTGCGACTTGTTTTGAAAATGAGGCGTAAAAAGTTACCAGCGAAGATATTCCGTTTGGCATCATTTGTACCATTGTTGGCGACTTTATCGTTTGCGCCGGCAAAACGGAAAAGTACCTATAAATCTAATATACAAGTATATCCTAAGTGGCACTTTTGAGACATGGAAAACGCAAGTTAAATTTCAACATTCGGTCCTCTAAAAACGGAAGATATAAAACTATCCCATATTTTTTTCACAAAGTGTACGTAATATATAGCGTTAGAAATCTCTTTTAATGATTACAATGATGTGTTTAAATGTACTTTGATTTATTTTAATTAGACATAGTATTGAATACAAAATAAAGATTTATACTATTAATAAATGCATTTATTGCTTTTATATCATTCAGTTTAGTAGATAATTACAGTTTGATTAAATTCGAAGGACACTTTTAAAATCTGACATCTCTGAGAACTAGTTAACTTCGTGCAATGGCAACACTTGTCAAGATGAGTGAGTGTTATGTCCGTGGTAGAGTAACATATCGCAATATTCCAAAAATTTTGGAAACATTCCAGTGAAAACATTTTAACCTCAATATAAACGTGATACCGTTTGACATTAACAGAGGTATAAGATGTTTACTAAATGTGAAAGCTTAATAGAAATACTGTCTTGAATTTCCTCATTGCTTTAAATTCATTGAAATGGTCTATGTTTCCAGTAAAACAAATATTGAATATGAGGATGTCTTTTCTTTTCTTCTCTTTCAATAGAGTTTGTACTAAAAACACGTCATTCTCCACAGACATTTCATGAATTATTTTTAATAAATTATCCTTCAAAATTATACTTTTTGCTCGCTTTTATTATTACTTTAGTCTTTTGATTTATTTGCAAAAGATGAATTGTATTATACGTTATTTTCTCCTTCCTTTCAGCATGTGCTCATAGTGTAACAGCAGCACACTCGGCGCGTATTCGAGAGGTCGAGGTTCGATTCCCGGTGAGGGCATTGCGCTTTTTTCACATCTCCTGCTTCAAATTAACTTAGTGACTCTGCATTGTCACCCAAACTGAAAGGTGGTGGATGATGATTCTTCCCCACCAGCTTTGGTGAATGAGTCCTCTAATCCCCAATCGCCCTTTAAAAAGCAAAGTATATAAGATATTTTCTCCCTTTTTTCTGCATGCCTTCGTGGTATAACGATAGAAAACTCGGTGCGTATTCGACAGGCCCACGTTCAAGTCCCGCCTAGGGCACTGCGCATTTCTTCAGTTTCTTGCTTCAATAAAAACCTAATAAGTCTACAGTACTAGATATTCTTACTTTGACTGATACCCCACAGAACTGTATTACGCTGAACATGCGGTTTTGAAATTTAATATGAAGATTTTCGAAAATAGTCACTAAATCGAGGCTTAAACAGCAAAAACTCAAAGTAAAGCGAAATATTCCTATTTTTAAAATAAAAATTTCGCATTTGAATTGAAATTTATTTTCAGAAATAAAAATTTGAAAATTCAGTTTAAACCATTAATAATAATGCTGAAGAGTGCACAGAAATTATCTTTGCAAAAATGATATACGTGTGTTTGTCTGCCAAAGTAATATTTAAAATTATGGGTTAAATAAATAACATATTTTCTAAATTTCTGCTGCATTTTGATTTTCCTTCATAGCTTAACTCTGTTTCATAATTTTATTAATAGTTAATGTTTAAAAAGAAACAGATTGTCTTCTAACTATAGTTGTGCAACTATTGGTAAGGATTAATACTATCCCATTTTAGTAAGTTCTGGGGTTTTACTTGACCTGGAACTGAAAATTCGTCCAATACCCCAAAAGACATAAAGCGAATCATTGCTATGTTTGAAATAATTGCAAAGTCGTAAGAACGTATAAGTAACCTTTTTATTAAAACAGACTTTAGACTATAAACGCACTATCTTTTGCTAACAATATCAGCCATAGCTCGTGGTGATGCAACTAAAAGAACAATTATATTCAAATGTAGAACAGTAGTCAAAGACTACAAAATTAAATATTACTTGTAACTGGCTCAGTAATTCTACCGGAGCGTCAAAATCAAAGTATCAGCAGCGATATAATGCAAAGCCGCACAATTTCAACTATCAGAGCTGGCAGGAAACTAACACGTAGCGTGCAGGCAAAGCAGTAAATATACTCTGTCTTAAAATCCAAAAACCTCAGTTTAAATGCTAGCTACTCATTTGCATTCTGGTGAAGAAATGGAAAACAGAAGTTATAGTAAAGACTGCAATTATAAATAACTGGTTAATTTAAATAATAAATTTATAAAGTTACAAACCATCCCATTTCAATATAGGCTACGGAACTATTTAACAGTATAATAAACTGGTTTTCTGACTTTCTATTAGTACCCAGAAAATCAATCGCTTTTAAATTCTAAGATTACTAATTGATATCTGGAACGGTCATTTTGAATTGCTTCATTCACTCATCATTTAATTCAAGAAGAAGTAAAAGTAGAGAATTTAATTTTTGTCCTTGTATGTTATTTTTGTGTTTGTTAGTTATTTGCTTCTGTATCGAGATGGGCGGCAAATTTAAGAACAGCCCTAGGCGGCAAACTGAGAGATGATCCCGATCGGCAAAAACTCTGGCTAATCCACTGGTTGAAAGTCCCTTTTGTACATGATAAAATGCAACTATCAACAATTTTCGATATCGTCACTGATCTCTAGAGTTCCTTTCAATCTTTTTACATTTTCAGGAATATCTGTGGGATTTATTTCTAATAATAATCTTCCAAATTTATTTATTTTAATTTACAGATTTATTTTTTAACCAAGATAGCTTTTAATACAATTCTATTACTTTATACCAATAAAAAAAAACCTCGTTTAAATTCCACCTAGATTTTTATGTAGAATTTAACACACTAAACAACAATACAAAAGAACATAATAGCTGGAAAAAAAGAATTACAACAACTCTTATCGGAAAATCTCTTTTCTCTTTCTCAATGCATTAATTTATTACTTTCTTTTATTTTATTGCGGTGTGTGGGTTGCAACATTTAAGGAATAAAAAACGAAATTAAAGATTTCGAATCTAGATAAAAGTAAACTTCGGTAAACAGAAATCAGATAAATGCATTTCTACTCTAATTTAAGACTTGGCAAGGAGGAGAGTCTTCAAACAAATAATTTCTTAACTTGCTTAGTGTCTTCGTTTTTAAAAGCCACGATAAAAACTCAAAATCTAACACATTATAAATATTAAGCAGCATTAGTCTTTTTATAAACCGAGTCGGAGACTTCATAATACACATTAAAAATAGAAATAGGTTTCCAGAATTTTGTTCTTACGTTTCATAATCCTATCGGTCATTGTAGTATGCTACATAAAGAATACTTCTACAGAAAACTTTGGAAAAAATGTAATACATTATATGTTCAAAAAAATAAAATAAAGTGAGTTTCAACAAAAATGAATTAAGCTGATAAAATATGTATATTAAATAAATGTTCTTGTTATCTTGTAAATGCTTTCTATAGAAATCGCAATTTGTAGAACGTACTTTCCTCTAATATATTCTATAGAACATTTGCTTCAAGAATAGCATTTGGCTGTTTTATATTTTGATGCAACTATTTTAAAGTTTTGAACATTTTGCACATGTAAAATTTTAGCATCTTTTTAATCGAAAAAGTGTTAATAGTTATCTTTCAAATTTATTGTTTATTGTTTTAAAATGTGGAGGAATGAAACGGTATCTTTTGTTCACGTGCTTAGTTTTGATAGTTTGTATCTACGTAGTGAATTGGAATTATATAGAATGATATACAGAATATATGAATATAGAATGGAACGGATCACAAGTTTTGTAAATTTGTGATCAAAGACATGCTTATTGATTTTTTTTTTTTTTTTTTTTTTTTTTTTTTACTTTTAAGCGATTTTAAGATGCCTTTGCTTGGTGAAGTCAATGAAAATATTTAAGTATGATGTAACAGTAAGACTAATTTCATATTAAAATTTCATTATTATGTTGATTTTATTTACATAACTGCAATTTACGATAAGACAGATGTCCATGACAAGCGGATGCAAAGACTACCTGCTTGTGTTCCAGTTCATTGTTCCAGATCCGTTGAACAATGTCCTGAATTAAGCTGCTTGAATTCATGAAATCAGAATGTTTCAGTCGATGTTGTCACAGAATACTGTTTTCCATGAATTTGCCGAAGCTTGCCTGCTGTTATTTTCTTCAGTGTCCTAGAAATCGTAAACATCAAATAAGCAGATTTTACTTTTACAAGGGAATGGGCACGCAAAAATGGAGCATGCAAGAAACTCACACATACGAAAAGTAGGAACAACAGGCCAGAAAGAAAGACAAGTAAATTCAGATGAAACAAATATTTTAATCATTCAGGTTTTGCTGCATGGGCTACAGGTTTTGCTGCATTTGCTACAGTCTAGCTGCATGAGCGTTTTCGTGTTTTCCCCATGTGTAACGTGTATACGAGCCAGTTTCCCTTAGAAAGTCCTTCACGAAGGCATCCCTTCCCTTAGGCAGATATCCCTAGTGTGCTTTGCCATAATTAAATACACCATCACACCTTTTATTGGGAATGGTAATTTACAACAACGGATTGCTTTCATGTACCGACCTCAACAACGCCCTTTACCACCTCAACGCACCATTTCCGTAAGCACATTTTTCAACAAATTCTACTTAATTCGTTCTCCTCGCTTTACATTTATATCAGAAAATTTTTAGTCATTAGTATGTGTTCCCCGCTATATAATCACTTAACATTTTTGTTTACCTTCCCCTACAGAACGCACTCTCAAAATGTGGCGACTTTACTTTGGGGACACTGTATATATGCACCATATAGTTTTCGTTATACGTAAAAATTTCAGTCAGCAAAACTAACTATACAGAATTTAAGCTCCAGAAAATATTCTTTAATGACTAAGACTTGTTTATCAAATGAAATTATCGTCTGCTAATATCGTAAGATTTTCCTTGTGAAAATAATTATCTGGATAGAATTGTTCAAACGGAACACCAGCGTTCTCTTACACAAATACGTGCATATGTTTATGCAATTATTGATACCGTAACTGTTGAATAATGAATAATCACAGGAATTGAGAAGTTCGCTAAGGTTGCAGATTTCATTAATTCGACGGCAATACAAAAGAAACCTCTTTTCAAACGCGTTTGATATTTAAATGAATCAAAGAACAAAGAGAGGAAATGGTAAGTGTGTTACCGTTTTCCTCCCACGTGGAAAATTAAAGGTTCATGTTCTGAATTGCTTAAATTCTGATACCACGGATTGCCTTATTCGCTTTTAACTTGTTATCGCTTAACCATCAAGGGCAACATACTGGGGTTTTCATTCTGTTTTTCAGGTTTCTTAATGGCGCACATATCCGATGTCGTTTGCTGAATCCCATGAGCTATTAAACTCGGAACATTTGGCGAAAACTTTGCCGTGTTGTTTTGTGATATCTATTAAAAGTAATCTGAGATTTTTGGGCTGTTTTCTAATGTTAAACTTAAAGCAAATCATCAGGGTTAGCATGTTTTGTATTTCAAAATTTAACAAGTTGCATGTTTACTGTAATTGTTATGTTATGCATTACTGCATTGCTTAATTTTAAGATCTTAAAAGCTTCCAAGCTAAATGACAGCACAGCTTGCAAAAATTAGCTTTGGCAATTTTGAAATAAATCTGTATTTCAAATAAAATAATTTAAAACTGTTTATTCACTAACTGAGTTTATTGAAGAGTAATGTCAACACCAAAAAATAGCAGCGACTCTCATATGAGGTTAGTAATTATCACAGTTCAGTAATTATATCCAGTGCCTGCCTGGATTCAAAACTCTTCTAACAGTTAAAGAACAAAAGAATCGCAGGAAACTGTCATTTGTTCTTTCTGTGTATTACTAAGAATTACAATATTTGAAACCTCTCTCATGCGGTATGCACAAACATCAGATAATACTTTTGCAATTATTGTATGAATCTATGGCATCTATACCAGTGTGGTTACTACGATAAAAAATTCATCTTTACGGCCTTCTTTTGTGAACTTTTAATCGTACTTTTACAGAAAAATGTATTATTTAAAACGCATATTAGAAAAGCATATGTACATTTTTAGAGAACGTAAGCTATAACTGTGAGGAGATTTATTTAATTTGCTTAACAATTATTTTATATTTAAGCAGCTTTCCTATCGCTGTTGCTTTCAACTCACACTTTCTTGCCAGGATGCAAATTAACTAGCGCGCGCATATTCAAATGAGGAAAAAAGTTAGTATTTAAGGAAGAGTTTTGGAAAGTGAAATCACAGCGTGTTCTGCCTGCTTGAAGGCCACGTTGCTAACCTCTCATTCTCTAGAGATTAGAATTCTGTGGCCTTGAGCTGTTCTTTCCATTACGCTTGTTTACGCTGACTTTTTTTAGCCAGAGCCAGCTTGCGCAATAGTTACTCTGTGAACCTACTAGGGTAGATTTAAGTTCATTAAATTTTAAGTTATTCATTACCCTTTTGGGTTAGCCAAAAGTGTTGGCTTTTGTAAGCTCTAGTTGGTACCGATTGTGAATTTTATTATAGGTAATAAAGGGTTCTATACACCCTTCTCTTGACTCTGTAGTACTTTTAAGGACTTGATCATAATCCACCAAACAGCCTTACACGTCAAGTACATTTTATGATAGCCAAGCATACTAAACAAATAAGAGATACTATCAATGGATTCCTAATCGCGGATCATTTGACTGCCAGCCGAACGTACTACCAATTACACCCTAAGAGTAGGCACCGTGAAAGGCAATAATTCTCTATAACATTAGCTTTAAAACGCCTTTTAATAGTTTCTTGAATGTATTATAATTTTTTTGCTAAAACAGTTTAAGAAGATCAACATGAAATGTGTCTTAGAATGAAAAACGAATTCTATTAGCATTTCCCTTAATAATTAATAAATTAAAAACGTATTTCGAAAAGTCCTATCATATAAAGAGCTTGCATCATATTCTCTTGCTTCTCTATTTTCTTTCTTTTGTTTCACTAAATCTGATTATTTTATTAAGGTCTAATTTTTTGCTATAAACGAAAGTTCTTAAAACTTGAATAATTTTCCAGACTAATTATATACGCCCTTTAATTCTGTTCAATAGTCATTGAAATTATTATCAAGTACTTGTCTTCCGAACTACATAGTTTACTCAGAAATATCTGATAAACTATCAATCTATAACTTAAATGTTCAATAAACTTCTCGTAAAGTTTCAGAACATTCACTTTACTTACATAAAAGAAACTAAATACGGGTTTGCTTTCTAAAAGGTAGTTAAAAGTTTGAAAGTCCAAATCCAATATTCCTCAGAAATTCGTATTTGCAGATAGGTCTAAGTAATTGCGTGATTCCCTTTCCTTTTTCTCTTAAACTGGAAGTTTTATTGCTCTTGTCAGAACTGCTGCAAGCTTCTTTCATGCCATCTACAATCACATTCTGCTTTCAGAGTAAATTTTAACCGTTTCCTTCCCTTTTCTCCTCCCCCATTTAATTTTCTTCAAATTCCCTGCTCTCTAAAACAAAGAGAATCTTCTGAGGCAGTTTAGGGCCGAGCCGTTTGTTTTTGCTCTGCCAATAATCAACTTTATTAGATTTACTGTTCAATAGATAATGCTCCATTAGTTAACACCAACGTTTAATTTTTTAACGAAAAAAATGTTTTAAATAATGTTACCTACAAACTTCAGATTATATTTTAACTTCTCAAAGAATCAACTGTTAAAAATCTCCTAGAGTAAAGTAAAAAAAAGAAAAAATTTATTTGAAAGCTTTTAGCTTTTACATTACGCTCAAAGAGGCGTTTATTTAACGCTTTGTGTGGGTTACCTTTATTTATTAAACACCATGTTCTACGCACTTAAACCATATAAAACTCAATTCAATAACAATATCACAATATATTTAAAGACAGTATAGCTTTAAAATTTCCGATAGACAGTCTCGTGCGCTGGAGATAAAAGCCTTTTTTTTTTTTTTTTTTTTTTTTTTTGTGTGTGTGTGTGTGTGTGTGTGTGTGTGTGTGTGTACAGTGTTGCCATTGCTTACTTTGAAATCGTTGAGTCTCTTAATAAAAATTCGTTTATGAATTCGTTCAAAAGTGAAAGAGATAATAGAACAAATTCGAAATTCAAATATTCGGGCTTCTACGTGCCCATGAGGTTTACGTTATTAAAACTTTGATGACTCTAGGTACCGTGTTTTTTCACAGTGCGAGAAACATACCTACATTCATGCAAATTCTTTATTATTTAATTTCTTTAAATATAATACAGGGCTATAATATTTGGTGGCAATGACTTGAAGAGTGAAATGGACATTTATAGTGAACTGATGCAAAATAAGTTTCGAGACTAATATAGCCCTTCTGGGCTAACAATCCTTTTGCCTAAAAATCAATTTACTAAAGCTTTTCGGGGTTAGATTTTCATGTGGTCGATACTGACGCGAGAAAGGAATGTTAATCCATTTAAGCTTCAACTGAAAAGCTTAGTATTGAAATATGTTAGAATTCCATAGACAAGCCATCTTTCACAACGCAAAGACAGATGATGATATTCTCTTATCGCTAATGAAACTTAAGGCTAAATAGTAAACTGCGACTATCAAGTGGAACACGACGTGCCCACTCAAGTGAAAATAAGATCACTGAAGACATATAACATAGTAAACCTGAACTTAAAAATTCTTCTTAGTAGATGATGGAGGAGATGATAAGCAAATGAGACCATTGTTTCTTATCTAAAAGTTACTTGGATGGTTTAAAAGAATTCACTGTGCAGAGTTCGTTATAAGCTGAAAACATGTAATATCACGTATTCAGAAATAAATCTCAGTAAGTCACAAATTAAGAAACAAAGCTATATGACTGCCGGGGAACACATACAAAATATATGGAAAAAATAAAATACAAAAGTAAAATAAAAGAAGAATAACAGTGCATTCAAAAACCACATCTTTTGTAGGCGCACCTGAAAATGTTCTGCCTTTGCGTTACAAATGACGGAGTATGAGAAAAAAGGAAAAGCCCTCCAGCGGGTGATCGTTTAACCTGTGACTATGCATTCTGTAATGAATGGTCTTTTTTTTTTATGTGTTCTATCAGCCCTTAAAATTTCCTTCATTAGTTTTGAAACACCGTATGTAAAGAAACTAAATATAGTTTTGAATTC